ACCTTTGTCAATATGTCTAGAATACAGTGTGTGTAATGATAGTGGTTTAATAAACTTCTGGAAGCGATCGAAAAAAATATGTTTGTCCCTATATGTGATTGGATATGCAACAAATGATATGCAACGTACACATACTTGCACGAAGTTCGGCTAATACAGAGCAGACGCATCGTAGAGTATTTGCACAATATTGCGCGAATGCTAGGCCAGGGCAAAACAGCTGTACGGCAATACCTGCTGGATATCAAACGGTTGTGCAAAACTGGACATTTGAGCGATATTCGAACCGACTTTCAGCCGGCACTGGCACGATACTGCAAAGTGTTGCCGTGCTGCTTGAGAACGGAGGTGATGACAACTTACCATCGTGTTTCCAACGCTTATTTAATTTAATTCTCTTCTGGGATGCGTGAAAGAGTACTTCTGTGACACACCAGAGATATTTGAATCTTGGGCAGGCCTCTCGGCTTTCTTTGCCACTTTTGGCAATTATTGGCACTTCAGTGGGTAGCCAGAGAAGAGCCAAACTTCGGCATGCCCCGAATCGGCAAATTAAGATTTACTGAGGTATTTATGGCTCAAGTCTGGCACTTACTTTGGCAGAACTGTGGCGCACCAGAGAAAAGCCAAACTTGGCATGTCCGAAATACCCAAATTAGGCGTTGCTTTGGCACTTATGGCTCAAGTCTGGCACTTACTTTGGCACAACTGTGGCGGACCAGAGAAAAGCCAAACTCGGCGTGGCCGAAATACCGAAATTAGGCGTTGCTTTGGTAGTTATGGCTCAAGTATGGCACACTTCGGCACTCCTGTGGCGTACCAGAGAAACGCCAAACTTTGGCGTGACCGAAATACCCAAATTAGGCGTTGCTCTGGCAGCTATTGCTGAATTATGGCACCAACTTTGGCGCTCCTCTGGCGTACCAGAGAAACGCCAAACCTTGGCATGCCCCGAAATCCCGGATTAGGATTTACTATGGCAGTTATGGCTCAAGTATGGCACCAACTTTGGCGCTCCTCTGGCGGACCAGAGCAACGCCAAACTTTGGCATGTCCGAAATACCCAAATTGGGCGTTGCTCTGGCAGTTATATGGCTCAAGTATGGCACTACTTTGGCCCTCCTGTGGCGGACCAGAGAAAAGCCAAACTTTTGCATGTCCAAAATATTCAAAGCAGGCGTTACTTCGGCAGTTATGGCTCGAGTATGGCACTACTTCGGGTCTCCTGTGGCGAACCAGAGAAAAGCCAAACTTTGGCACGTCCCAAATACCGAAATTAGACGTTGCTTTGGCAGTTATAGCTGAAGTATGGCACCAACTTTGGCGCTCCTCTGGCGGACCAGAGAAACGCCAAACCTTCGCACGTCCTAAATACCTAAATTAGGCGTTGCTCTGGCATTTATTGATTGCAAATGATATATACAGACACAGGTTTGCCAAAGCAACATTGGGAGTGACTTGCAGCTCCCGACAGTCACCGAAATAAACATCGAGCGAGAAAAGTAATAAAAGGAATTAACATAGAGCAATACACGTAATATAATAGTGCGCCAAAATTAGACGAAACAATAAACTGCCAACGAAATCACACTATTAAATAATCAATTGCTTAGTAACGTTCAGTTCTGTATAGCTGAGGGTTTTATTAGGCCTATATTTTGTTCTTGAGACATGCGCAAAAAAGCCTAGCTTGCTTAAAAACACGTTCACACAATTACTTTGAGGTAAATACGTGGCTCGCGGCACCCGCGCCATTCTGAACGCAGGCTTACTTACTGATAATATTTCACTTCTGGAAGGACGCGCCGCCAATCCTACACATAATTTAGTCATTAATGTAAACGACACAAAGGAGGGTACCAAAAAGTAACTGGAAGAAAAGTGGCACAATCGTGTCCATTAAAAAGATGATCCTACCAAATACAATCGGCGGGAAATCTTGCATTGTCTTTAGTATAGAATTCGTGCATTCATACAAAAATGCTTTTAGTTAAAGCGACATGGAGAATAAATGATGTGCGGTCGCGAGAGTTATATCGGTGTCCATTGGTGGCTACAATACACGAAGAAAGTCAATACTACTCGCATGTAGATTGTCAGAGCTGACATTATTGCGTACTGGGCTGTGGAACGCATTTTGAGCATGTCCAGCAGCTCTCTCCTGCGAGATATCGCATGCCGTGAACAGGGACAAAGCCAAGCCATTGGGAATATTTCGCCTGAGTTATGAGCCCTATAGAACGGTGCACAAAGGCTGGAACATGTTCGACTTTCTGGTTAGAGCTTCGCTTCCCTCTCCGCGCCTTCATGCTGCTTGTGACCAAACTTGACTTCAAGCACCTTTGCCACGAACGAGTTGGCATATTCTAGTTCTAAAGCTTGAATGGTTTATGACGAAAATTTCCATTTTAAGAAATGTACCTGTCCGCCCGAGCGTCCGCACATAGCCAACGGCAGGGCATGTGAGCAGAACCGTTTAGGTTACCATGAAAATATGAGCAAACGCAATGTACACATACACTTACGCATCGATCAGCCAATATCTTTTTATCTTCCACCTGGGATGAAACCCAGAACCTGTCGATTCGTGGCGCATTCCTCTACCTTTGTTCAGGCTGTACGACGTTCTATACAAACAATTAAGCTAAAGTGTAATTTCTGTATTAATCCTATTAAATTTACCACATGGCGATACTCTCTGTTTAAGCGCTGTAGACGAGGACAATATCAATGAACAAAGCACGAGTTCTTTCTCACTCTCCGAAATGAATCCTTAATGTCTTCAAAACAAATTGAAACCATCTATCCTCTAAGACAGTGGCTCTCAAATGGGGGTCCGCGGACACTTTGGGGTCCGCGAAGCCAACCCTCATCAGTCAAGCCCGGCAATAATTGTTGTATTTTCTTAGATTGAGAGGAAACGTTCCAATTTTCCGATAAGTTTTCTCGTGTATATGTCAATAAAACGAGTCTACTTCACACTAGCCCTTACTTGAATCCATTTATTAAATCAATATCGTAATTACCCTACACTTTTCTTTCCCCCTCACCACAACTGGGGTCCTCTATCATATCCGCCGATCCTCAAAGGGTTCGCGAAACATCAATGGTTGAGAACCACTGCTTTAAGAAATACTTCCTCGTATTATAGGACTTTGGAGATGAAGTTTACTGTCAATTTTTCTTAAAACATTCGCGTGACATCTATCCTAAAAGAGAGCTTCAGTATTTCGTATACGAGTTTACGAGCGAAAGCAAGTGCTTTGCGTTTGACTTAGGTTTCCGAGTTCTACACTGAGCGTGTGCGCAACCCCCAACTGCCGCTTGGATTGGCGATGGCAGCGACGCACCTGCGCAACGTGGAACACGCAAAGCAAACGCAAACGCTTGCCTTTGCTCCTGTAAGAAAAAAGTAAAACTTTTTATTAAAGGGCAACTCCGGCCAAAACTCAGAATGAAATAAATTACTGGTATCGCTGTAGTTACATAAAATACGACCCCATCCAAAATATTACATCCGTGGCTAGCCGCATTTTCAACTAATGCCGATAATAAAAATGCGACCGCCGTGAGCCGCTGCTCCTTAGCGGGCGACCAGCGGGTTGCCGATCGCTAAAGCAACATTGGGCCGTGACGCCAGTATCGTTCTCTTTTTTTCCCCCGGTCCGGGCGTTGCGCGGAATGCGCTTCTTTAGGGCGTTTTCGTAGATTGTTTTCGCCGTCCCGCAACGCTCTTCGCAACCCGCTACGGTAGCCGAGACTCTACAGTCAAGGCTATCGGCGCGCAGGCGCAGTAGCGGCTTCTTCGTTGCGGAGGGCTTAGCGGAGGGGGAAACGCGGTCTACGAAAACTTCCTAATGAGCCGCTACCACCGCTACTTCGGCTTGTGATTAGCGTGTTTAGCCGTTGCTTTTATTTGTAGCCCGTGTAGCTTCGGTATAGCCTTTTGTTTATTTGCTTGTGAGGGCTCTAAGACTGGTTTTAGCGAGCAACTCGGTGCGCCCAACACTGCCCAGCTGTTCCTCGAAAGATGCCGAGTGCAACTTGTAGCGCTGTGGGCTGCTCAAACAACCCACTGCGCAACCCGGAGGTGCTTTTTCACAAGTTTCCAACGGACCGGAAATTGAAAAAGGTGTGGGTGAACCATGTTCGACGAGTGGACTTTGGACTTCGTCTTTTACGCGCCCGAGGAAAAAAAAACACACACAAAAAAAAAACAGACCTGTACAGCCCAGCACACGTGTGTTCAGGCGCCGCAGCCCGCGCCGGAGAGCCTCGAAGCTTCGTGTCTGGGACTGACCTGCAGCGCGAAAGCGAGAGGGCCCCCAGTACTGTACGTCACTGGCTGCGCGGCGTAGAGCAACACCGCTCCATCCACGGAGCCCGATGACAATTTAGGCCTAGCGACGAGTACGGAAGACCGCACACACGACGACAGCTGCTGAGTACGGCACCGGACGAGTTCTCTCGTTTTCCAGTCGCTAGCTTTTGGGTATACAAGCGACAAGTACGGCATAGCGCACGCACGGCGGTGGCCGCCGAGTACGGCACCGTACGAGTTCACGGGTTTTCCAGTCGCTAGCTTTTGGGTATACGCACTAACTCTTGCTACATATGCTGGATAACTACCACGTACACAGGATTAAAACAAAATCAGCTTACCTTCTATCTTTAGACGGCTAGCGCGATAAAGGTAGGTGCCGCTCGGCCTGCGTACTCGTTGAACGAGAACGATCCTGACGTCACGTTCACATAGCGGCTGATTTCCAGTGTTGCCGGAGCCTCAAGCGGCTAGTTTCGGTTCTGTTGGCCGCTTCCAAAACAATACTTTGAGGTGTCGATATCTTTAAAACTACGCACAATAATGAGAAAAAAATTACACCTTGCAATTCAGGGACGCTGACTGCACTAAAAAAAGTTATAATCCCAAAATCGAAAGTATGGGCCGGAGTCGCCCTTTAAGGTTCAAACCCTAGCGCGATTTCAAGACGTGCGCTTACCTCGAAGAGGGAGATGTTCTCGGAGGGCATGGTTGCGCCCTGCGGGAAGCAGCGAGTGTAGTTGGTCCAGGGCTGGCCGTGCTCTGGACTCACGTACCACGTTCCGTTCTCCGTGCACCACTTGGTGGCCATTTCTGCCGGACGAGGGAGACGCGACGCACCCACAATTAAGACCTCGGTGAACAGTATGGTTCCCGGAATGCGACCCCGACTGGTGCGATCTCCACGTCCTCAAAGGAGGATTTCCCGGTTTCCGCCTGGCGATGTCATAGAAGCTTAGTGTTGACACCGGCCACTATTGTGGCGGTCTCACAGCAGCGTTGGTAGATGCGGCAGATGCCTGTTTGACTGCAGGCCACCACTTCGGCTTGACAGTCCGCGGAAGCGGTAGCAGTCAGCATTAGGGACACAGCGACGACAGCGACGATCGCGTTCACTCGTGCATTATGAAGGAAGTTCTAACACCCACGCCAGGATATCGATATCCGACATCATGACAGGATGGCTTCTTGGACGTCATTGCTTGCCACTTGAGGATCACTTTTTATGCATGCGCGTGATTGGACGATGAACACACGAATCGACGACGCGTTTCTGGCACCGTAGTGATGAACGAGCTAAAATCGCACTCTCATCACTGGGAAAAAAGATTTCAAAGGATTGTTAGGGTGGACACCGGTTGGTTTACAATTCAGTCTGAGAAGCCATCTTGTCGAACCCCAAGGTTTTATAGGCTTTAAAACAATATAGATACCCGTAACCAGAATAAAGTTTTTTTTTTTTTTTTTATGCACGTGCGATTTTTTTTTTAAGCATAAAGGCATAGCAAGTGCAACCAAAGCAGTTATAATTAAGTAAAATACTAATATCAAAATGTCCGATCGTTATGCATAGAGCTCAAGCTTCTAAAAAATCGTTATTTTTACTTCAATTCACTGACATAGTTATATTAATGTTTGAGTGCACGTATTTAACATCGAACTAAGAATAAACTTCGAAAAACAAAACGCAGTCAAGCTTTCAACCACAAACGTAAATTGCTTTAGAAAGGCATTTAAAAAAAAAATATATAAATTAGATAAAACAACGGTATTCTCGATGTGAATAAACAACAAAAGCGTGATAAAATCAACGTTTAGAGGATGCCAGTAACTTTTTGAGCGTGGGCATTATGGCTTTGTACTCGCTGGTTCCTACATTCAAGTTGAAGAGCAAGTAAGTATATTGAACGTCACTTCTAGTCTCTTCCATATGGAGTCTGCGTGCACAAAATGGAAACGTTGCCATACGCGTTGTTTGCGAGCGTACATAATGGCATTGCATCACTGCACGGCATTGCATCACTGCACGGCATTGCACAACGCACGCCAGTCCATATCTAAAAGAGTCTTTTACCACGTAATACGAATGAGAACCAGAACCACGGGATAGATATAGCGTTTTTGTGTAAGTAGATGCTACCGGCGTATTTAAAAGCGTGTTTTCACTTGCGGAATCCCGGGCGGATCCGTTGTTGTTTGTTAGTTGTTAGTTGATTTCACAGCCGGGTGGTGAAACCTACTCGTCCTTGGTGGAAAATCTCGATCAGTCCGGGACCTATATTTCAGTTTTCTATCAGCGACGACTGGATTTCACACCTTGTTCCACAATGCACTTTGCCGCCTGAGCGGATCTGACCGCGAATCCGCCATTGTAAACGCGCCATACGACCCTCGGGTGTGTCAAAAAGAACAGAATATTGAACTTAACGAATGCTCTATAGACCAATGCAGCTGACTGGCGTCATGCCACTGCGGTGGCGCTGCTGTCGGTTTCTGCGCATGTGCAAACCGCTTCACTCCTCCAGAATTTTGTTTCAGCGGACGCGCAATGACTACGTGTGGCAAATGCGGACGCTTGTTTGTGAACACTGTGTTGGTGTATACTGTACTATAACCGCGGTCGCGAGTACTTAATACTATCACGAGCACCGAATGATTCTCGTGTTAAGTCCTTATACAATTCTTAGGTGACTCGTCGAAACATTAAAATTACCTTATAGACATGAACCCTTAATAAACAGCTAGGCAGTTTACGCTTCAGATGTTCACGATATCAAGGTAAAGCAAAGTATCTCATCAGTTCATCAAGGCCATCCAAACGTTTCGCGTCACGTGGTATCAATTCCCTGATGTCGTCAATCCTACAGATTCTTTACATTTCGAGCTAAAACTTCATGGTCAAATGGTATGATAAAAATATTTTTTTTTGTTTTTATTTTTTAATAAAAACAAATCTTGAAAAACTAAAATAAAGGGTGTGACGGTTGCGTAAATGCCGTTATAATTGTCTGCATACGAGACTCGGCGCACATTAAATGAAAAGAGGACCCTCATAATCAGAACGCTAGATGACTGATATAGTTTACTTAACTTATTAGTTATTCGTTTCGTGGGCCATACTTCAATTCCAGTGTAGACGAGCTTTACTAATAGAGGTCAGAACAATTCAAAGAAATCAGATAGGTAATGGTTTTAGTTATCATTCTATCCGTTCTTTTTTTGTTCACCCGATTTAGAAATTCTACGTAAAAAGAGCGCCGCAAGTCATTACCACAGTCAGGCCTAAGGAAGTGACGACGTCCTTTGAGTCACGTCTTAATTTTATTATCCTTGTGGCCTTGGCGCATCCACCAAAAACGTGCTGCCGAAGCGGTAATGACGCAATTGAAATGAGTATATCCCTCTTCTAGGCGTCATTGTGAGCAGCACTTGGGGAACAAATGTTTTCACGAAAGGTTTTATTCTATGAAAGGGGGATAGCTGTTTGAGTAATACATACAAATTAAGTACCTTTTGGGTGTTTTTTTTTATCAATCTGGTGTCTAATATTCATTGTCGTCTATACAACGTTTGCAATATGACCCATAAAAGCATAATTAAAAGGTGTCAATTAATTATCAAATCGATTATGACGTCTTTCTTCCCGCCGAATGTCAGCCGAGCCCCGCATACAAAATATAAAGACGGCATGCACGTAATTTTCACCCTCTTTTCTATAAAAATAGGCTTATACTCCAAAAGACCACAAAATTTAGGATATGTTTTTAAAGCTTCGTGGGTTTGTTTTAAAATACAGTGAAAGCAACACTAATGGGTTGTTTGCAGATTTGTTATGCAGCCAGGGTTACATACGTTAGGGGGATAATTGTCACAGTAACATTTTACTATACTTTCTTCATTATTTTTTTTAATTATCTAAAATATTGATATAGTGTCAATCAGAAACATGTCAAGCATTATAAACAAAAAGCCAAATTTGGAGATTTTAGAAACATTTGGTGCGCGTGGGATGAGCGGTGGTTCACTAAAGTCTAAAGGCGCAATTCTCTAGTAATAAAAAAAAAAAAACGCGTCAGCCCGGTTTTATTTTTTGTTGTCATTCGCGTTTTTACACTGCCACCATTGCGCCCGTTGCACGAATGGTAAGTAGTGGTGAATTCGGGTGGTCGCCTCTCCCCTCTGACCTCGATTCAGCAGAGCGCCCCCTCCTCGCCGCCAGAGCTACTCGGGATCCTTTTCAGCCGATCACAACTGCTGGCTTCAGAGCGCTCCAGGATTCTCAGACCAGTCACGGAATTAAACTTTCTGGACATTGCTAATCCATTAAAAACAACACGATCTTACAGCGTACGGTGGACGATTGAGCAAAATTTACGCCCGCAACGTGATGAAATACCGGTTTTGACGTAAAGTGTTTTACTCATCGGCATGTAAAAAAAGAAAACAACAGTATGCGAATTGATTTTTGCAGAACGGAACGAAAGCCAACGCTTGGAAACAGATGTCAACTCATCGCGTTTTCGACAGTGAAAGCGCTGCGATAGCGGTCATGCGTACGACTGAGCAGGCGAATATAAAATTGTTAATAAACCGCATTTTTGTCACGGCGAAATATCGTGCAAGCATCGCAAAGTGACAGAAATCACAGTGTATTATATTCGGCTCTCCCTTTATTTTACAACACAAACCTTTGAACGCACTTTTACCAAACCTCAAAAATTTCTTGAAGCGACTACAAAATCCGGTGAAACAGCGGCGAGCCCTGCGAGCTCTTTCGTCGTCGGTTAGGCTTAGCGGAGTCACCGCCGTGAGATGAACGATCTTGTGAAAGCACTGGGAACACTTCACACGTCGGCTTTTCCTGTTACGGTCGCAAACGAATGTCGTCCCGTCCGTTGTAATGCACGCACCGTCGAATGCACAAGCACTTTGTAGAACCACACGTCAATCACCGTCATGCCGGACCCCGCACACCACCACAGACCACTGCCGGCATCGTCAACAAAACCACGTGATCACCGTCCAGCTACCACGTGACGCGTGCGCCGCTCCGCACTCCGACGGCTACAGACGGAGCGCTAGAGAGCGCTCTGAGAGGGAGAGGCGCCCTCGCAATGAACCACCCGATCAGGCCACAGCACTCTCTTTTCAACCTTCGATTTCGCGCGCTCTGGAAAGAGCGCTCGAGAGCGCGCAGAAAGAACCACGCGAATTCCCCATAAAATGACACCACCTCGATTCCAACGCGGCACAAATCTTTCAACGATTCACTTACTCGGTGGATTTTGATGGAGCTCATAGAAATCTCTCATTAAAACTATATGTTTAATATCATCAATCAAAAGTCAATAAAAACTATCGTAAGCTACTATCCAACTTAATATTATGTTGCCCTGACCGTATGTATGCCTTACCTACGCAGACCGTATTAATGTATCACTCGCGGCGTTCTTATTCAAACGAATCTGTAAAGCCAACCCCCCCCCCCCCCCCAAAAAAAAAAAAAGAAAAGAAAAAAAGAGCATATACATTATAGGATTTTTTGAAGTCTTCATTTCTGGTTATCCGTACGGAGAATCTTTCTCGAGTACTCCGAAGAAGAGCACGCTGCAATTTAATGCAGCGAGAAAGTGAGGGACAGAGCGCGAGGGGACGCTACGCTCCGATACACGAATGTGACCAAGACTCGTGTCTTGCAGTCGCATCTATTCGTTAAATGAAAACAAAAAGTTAAGGTTTTTGTCGCTAGGTTTAGGCGTTTTGAGTTTCTATGGTCGCGTAGAGTACAGGCTGTCTCCTTATCATAGACTATT